AGTGTAAATTGTCAATTACATTGAATTATATTTAATGTTCTCATTTCCTGTGAAGGACAACAGGAACAAAATTGCGGAGAGTTTAAGGAAAGATTAAGGAGAGATATTTTTTTGTCTATTTTTTCTTACCCTCTCCTAGATTCATGAAGCAAAATAAATAACACGGGAATATAAATGAAAACATGTGAATTTCCCCAGGTGAAATTTCTTTGACACCAGAGCAAATGACAAAAGTATCAAAATACATAAAATGGGCGGGAAGTGCAGTCAATTACGATGACGTACCAACGGCAGTACAAAATCTCCAGAAAGCCCTTCACTTGCTAACGACCGGACAAGATTCTTGAATACCTTGTGACAATAATTCTCCAAGGTACCTCTACTCTGTTCACTTGAGCGTTTATATTGCAAAAATATAGTTCACTAATTTCTAATGACAGAAAATATAAAATGAAAAAATCATTACGAAGTTCGCTTTCACGAATAAAACTGTTAAAAAATGCCCTAATAATTGTTTATGCATATTTTTTTATGACGCAGAGACGTCTTCTCAATGTTAAAGTGCTTGTACATAATGAAATTATACGCATGAAAATTGAGAATAATATAAATCAATTGATAACGCAACGAATAAATATAAAAGTGTTATTCCGTGCCTCTGATATTTAACGAGTAATAATTAAAGGAATGGATCAATCTACGTGAAAGGTGAAATGAATTAACGAGACCTGTGGTATCACAATTAAAGATCAAATTATTATTAAGCTGTCGTGTTTTTTCATTTTTTTTCCAATGAGAATAACTCAATTATTAGTAATTCACAACCTGAATAAATCCAATTGAGTTAAATTCATAGGGACAATACAATAAACTCTGAGAGTAATTCACGAACATTTCTGTCTCTGAGTTACTTGAAATTCTCCATTATTTACACATCTAAAATAAATAATATATTTCACGTGATTCTACTGATAAATTGTCTCAATCAAAATGAACACTCCTATGGTGAATCGTACTTATAGGTATTTATTCATAATAGCTCACATATTTTCTTTCTTATATTCTTATTAATGTAGGTCCCTGCACGCAAAAGAATCTACCACAAATGGAATCTATCTCAGCCAGACCTCTCACGAGATCCCCTCGTCTTGAGTATCTCCACTTTTGTGATTACGATTACACTATCATTATCATTACCATATAAAATCAATCCCTCGTGGTTTACAGGATGAGTGTGCAATTGATGCATTTCAATGATTTTTTAAATTCTATTGTTTATATACATCCCTAGAAATACCGATTATGAATGGCAGTTAGTTAATTGTGCCGCTCGAAGCTGATTATTACTTGGGTTACTGTAGATAAAAATTAATCGTAGTAATGAGAATATTCTCGAATAAATAGATATCAAATTCAGAGGATATCTATCCATTCAGTGAGCAATACGAGTGAGCCTGGTGAACGAAAACATTTGGGACATTTGCTCGTTGGATCATGTACATTTCGAAAAATCATTGGGATCGGAACGATTTTATTTAATGTCCTTTCTTTCAGTCTTGCTTTTTCACTTTGTCGTCAACGCCATTTGCTGTTACTGCCTGATTTGCCTGGCGACTCAGCTGCATGTCGATCACTAGTCTCCCAGTCAGCATGAAAAGAAACACCTGAAATAGCCATGCAGAAAGTAAAATC